CATACCGAGCTGACACAACACACGCATGCGTACGCATCGAAAGAGAACATACCAGTCGCTTCAGCAAAGCGCGAATCCCGGGGCGGACGTGAGATGCGGCGATCAAATCGAACGGGGGGAAATAGAAATCCGTCAACAAAGGATTGTCATCGGTCGCCGGAGCCGACGCCATCGAGAACGATCGGGAAAGAGTTTCCGGCTTGCGAGGAGAAAGCGGGGGGAGGGGAGCTGAGATGCGGAGGGCGTGAATGCAGAGGGAGAAAGACGAAGACCAGAGGGGACAAGGGCGGGATTTCAGGCGAAGATTGGGGTGAGAAAGGGAACGTGAGACGAACGAAGGGTTGAAGCAGAGGCGCTGGTAAAAGACGAATGGGAGGGAGCGAGAAGAGGAAAAACAGGCAGCCATGGAAATGAGGAGGAAGATGGGTTTAAGTATGGATGGTTTACAAGGATATAGTCTCCTTGGACTCATTCTTTCGAAAATCAAAATCATAAAAGTTGAGGAAGATTGTATTTTACCAATTGATGTACCTAGAAATATGTACATCCCGGTAGTACTCATTCTGAAATAAAGTAGTACTCATTCTTGTAAAAATATAAACATTCATTTTGAAATACGTAGTACTCATTCTGGCAAAGGTAGTACTCATTTTAAAATAAAGAAGTACTCATTTTTACACATTTTTCTAATATAATTATAATAAATAGCGTAGTGTTCATTCTTAAAAAAACAATACTCATTCTCAAATAAGGAAAAGTTCATTCTGAAACAAAGTATTATTCAATTTTTTCACAATTAAAAAGTTCAGTACCATCATCAACTTCTTCCTCTATTCAATTCGTTCCTACTCATTTATACTCCCTCCGTCCCCCTGTATTTGTCCACTTTCATTTTTACACACCATCCAATGCACTTCTTTAATTCATTTTATCTTGTAATTTGTATATTAAAAAATTATAAAAATTATATATTAATAATCTATATCTTAAGACAAATAAAACAAGACACATGACTATATTTAGGCTTATACATTGAGAGAATTTGATGAGTCAAAGTGCTTAGATGAACAGTTCCAAAAGTCAAAAGTAGACAAATACAGGGGGACGGAGGGAGTAATCTATGAGTATGAAGAATTTAAAACCCAGGTTTATTCATGTTTGTATTGAATAAGAATATGGTACTCGTTCTCAAATCTGTCGGTACTCATTGTCATATATAATAGTTATCATACATATGTTCTGGGCATTAGAAAAAAAGTTTGTTAAATTTATAAAAATATCAAGATGTACCTAAAGGAAGGTACAGCTGGATGTACCATATAATTTTCCATTAATAGGCATGGAATCTTCAAAAAAAATTAATAGGCATGGCATATTAATGTTTACAATTCATTATGTACCGCATTTTAAGGTCACGCAGTCCCCGATGAAGTGGTTGCCACATGACAGATAACACCCTCTTGAGGCTCCATGACTACACATGGTCTTATGTCATAACATTATTTTTATCAAGAAAATCGTAGAAAGATTTTTTCAAAAAAACACAAGCATCTAAAAACAGACACAAGATAGCATAATCTTAACACTATTATGATAGTAACTTTAATTCATTTTTCAAGCACTAAGCTTTCTTTTTTCATTTTCAAGAGACAACATTGATAGGGGATATGATAGTATCATCAAGAATCTTTGACTGCATATTTTCACCTAAACTTTGTATTAGTATGATATTATGTGATTCCAATCAAGGCCTAACAAATTTGTTTTAGACACTTACCAAAATGCTTCATACTAGTAAAACTTGAGCAAAATTTGCTTTTGGCCATCTTCTCTTCATATTTTGATATGAGACAAACTCTTATGTGAAACTCTCAACATTCCCCTCTCATATATATATATATATGTGTGTGTGTGTGTAGTTTTTCAACTCCCCTTAGTGCAATTGCTTATAGAGTCATGTCTGAGATCATCATGCTTATAAAATCCTTAAAATAGGGTTAAATCATCGAATTAAAGCACACAATAATTGTTGGAAAGGCTAATCACACCATGAAGGCATGAATTGTACTCCATAGGGCCAATAGTGGAACTACTATTCAACAATCAGTAGGTTGTTCTTCTTTAACCCCTCACCAACAGTGGGGTATTCTGGGGATAGCTGCCACTCTCCATTCACCAAGAACTTGATCTCATACCTTCATCATCATATTTAAGAAACATGAATAATGGGATCAACTAAAAGAAATTAACCAACAGTTAATCCCAATCATATTATAAGGAATTCACCTTGGTTCCCATGACATTGGGAACCAATGTCATGGGATGACCCGGGGGCGCTCCGGTGCCCTGTTCGTAAAATTGACGGTTCCTACCCCCCGGTAAGCCCCCCACCCCCTTCAATTGCACCCCACAAGTTGATTTTGACTTTGGAGTCAAAATTTGACTCTAAAGTCAAACTCAACTTGTGGGGTGCAATTGAAGGGGGTGGGGGGTGCGTTTGGGTCGGGGCGGGGTGGGGGGGTTTACCGGGGGGGTTAGGGGGATAGGAACCGTCAATTTTACGAACGGAGCACCGGAGTGCCCCGGGTCATCCCATGACATTGGTTCCCAATGTCATGGGAACCTTGCCCTAAGGAATTAGAGGTGATTGAAGAAAACGGGAGTACCTTCCCGGCCTGAGCATTAGTGTCGTGGAGAAATGTGTGTAATCACCGGCGTACTCGGGGGATAAGTCCTCTCCTTGATTCCATCCATCAAAAGATCCCATCACTTGCACACTCTGAACAAACCAAAATTGAATCAGACCCAGAAATTCAAAAATGTCAATTATATGTGTTTGGTTTTAGGACTTTCAAAAGAATAAGATATAAATTACATGATGAACTAAAACAAATGTCTTTCTTGTACTAACTATGTCAATTTTGACAATTGCCAACAAAAAAACTGACAACCCAAGAAAATAAATGATCATTTATCAATTTTCATACTCCATCCGCTCTCTATTCATTGTCGTTTTAGAAAAACTTAATCTCAAACAATAGTCACTTATCAATAGAGCATTAACTGCTCATTTTCCACCCTTACCCTTCTGGCCGTCTCCATCCATAATGTAATATAGTGCTTTAAAACACTAATAAAGGTATTCCAGTCATATTATACTACTCCATCTTGATTTTATATCAAATTATTGCCTCCTAAGCATGAACAATTACACAGCCAGTAAAAAGAATGAAGGAGTAGCTTTTAAGAAAATTATAAGGGGGTGGGGGGGTTTACCGGGGGGGTTAGGGGGGCTAGGAACCGTCAATTTTACGAACGGAGCACCGGAGCGGCCTCGGGTCATCCCATGACATTGGTTCCCAATGTCATGGGAACCAAGGTGAAATTTATAATGATATTATAATATTGCCCTCAAGTATTATGCCTCATAAATAAACGCTACATCATTGAATATAACATCCTATTAAAACGAGCACTGAATCCTTTTAAAAAAGTGCCTTAACATACGGAGAGAAGGGAGTGTTGCAAGCCGAATATCTCAAATGTAGCATTTTTCCATTGCCGTTAAGCTGGACAGAATTTAATGAAGACACACAAATTACTTAACAAACTGACCTCTGCCATACCCATCCAGAATAAAGGAACCTCTTTGGGTTGAGCAGCATCCACATCCTTTACTTGTTCCTTTAGTTTTCCCTTTAAAGCTTTTCAGAGCAATTATCATGACCATATGAAGAAAAAAATCCAGTTAAACATACAATAAAGTGAATATACTTGTGGATAATACTTGCTACGATTATTATTTTGTATGGTAAAAGATTTATATCTAAAACAAGCTTAAATAGCTTCTAAGTGAACTTTTCACTACCCAGTGTGTTTAAAAAAAATATATTACTCTGTATGAAACAAACAACATAAGTAGCATCTGCATTGTTGAATTGAATTTTTTCCTTCAGTGTGGAAGATAGAAGCTATGGGGGAGGGAGTTTGGGGGGCGGTTGAAAATATATTTAACATCAGATTGGTGAAACAAAAGTAGAGGAAAAGATAAACAACTTTAGTACCTTTGAGACGTGAAAGGAGGTGAGATTGAATATACTTCCCGTTAATCTTTCTAGAACCTTCTGGGATGTTAGATCTTGCAATTTCTTCTGCCAAACTGACCAAAGCCTACCACACGAGATCAAGACATTCATTGATGGACTGACATCTAAACTCTGTGCAAGACTTAATTTTTTCTTCTTTCTAGCCTTCAAATAAATGATCTTCACACACTTGAAATGTTGATGTACAAAAATTACATCCTCAAATTGTTGCAAAAAGGTCATACTCCTTCACTCTAGGTATCCCAGTCGTTTACGGTTTAGGTACATTAATTAAGACTCATTTTTTAGGTATAAATATTGATACAAAATTACCAAATTACAACCCTTTGAAAGAAAGTTGGAAGCATTTACTTAGTTATCCCCCAAAGTAAAGACATGGTAAATTTGGAGAAAAGATCGTTGCTTTTCTTGGTAATCCAAAAATCATAGATTGAAGGAAACATATTTTATTAGGTGACCTATAGAACGAAATGGATGCATGTAGTACTCTCCAAACTAGCCTTTTAGCATTTGTACTACGTAAAGCATGATTCAGAAACTAAAAAAAATATGTTTTTTGGCACAAACACATGGAGATGTATGATTGAAGAATTATACAAGGGTCTATATCATTGAAAACTGAATCAAATGCATGTAAAATTCCAAAGAGAAGAATTGTTGGATATTTATCAAGAAATACTGCTCAAGTGTTCAACATGATCTTTACATATAATAATAACAATAATAATAATAATAATACTCCGTATTATATTAATATGCAGGGAAGTTTTAGTCAAAGTGTTCCTTTGTCTTTTGAAATGGTTTAGAAATTAAAAGAGATAAAAGAATGAATATGCTTTACTGTTTAGCTCCCAAACAAATGGTTGCAGTTTAATTTAATGGACATGTCTTTTAAAGAACAATTATGCTCTCTGGAAATTTTTACTATAAATGGCCTGTTGATTTTGGACGATGGTGGGAGGAAAAATCCTTCACTCTCTTGTCTTTCTCTACTTCTACTATTTGCAGTTGTAGAAATACAATGTAGACTATCTCTTATACACAAAATCAAATGTTTGGTGTAATTTTGTAAGTAACCACACCTTTTAATCTAAAAAGTTATATCTTGTAACCCTGTTACTTTAAATCTATAATAAGGATAGATAGTAAACTTTAGGAAAGCATGAAAATTCATGTGACTAAAAGTGATATCCATTTCTTAGCCATTTAATATCCTACCAAATATTTCCGTCCTGTTTTAACAAGAATTGTGTGAATCTAAAACCTTAACAAGAGACACATGCATACCTCAATATCAAGTTCAATGGCAGACAATTCACTCCTGAAACTAACCATTTCTTCCTCCCTTGCTTGCAACTGCAGTATTTTAGCATAAATTGTTCTCAAGTGTGACCGTTATTGCATCATGTTACATTGCAGTCTTAAAAAAACATTAATACAATAACATATGAAAAATCAGATTGCTTTTTCGGGGGATAACAAACCTGGCGTTTTAGGAACCGATTATGTTGATTAGCTTCGCTCAATTTCTTGAGGATATTTAATCTTTCAGAATCAGTTAGCAGCACCTTTAACTGTTCAAGATTTTCAGAAGATTAGCTCTAGTAATCAAAATGTCACCACTCCATAAATTTGTTTTTGAAAGAACCACACTATGATATGATTTGAGTATGAACCAAATAAATCCCTGAACTTTCAACAACTTTTGCACTAGTTCGTTCTTCCTTTCCTCTTCAAAAGCAGTCTTCATTAAAAACCAAGCATTTTCTCAAGATCGAAATGTTCGATAAGTGGCTTAACCAAATAAACAAAAAAAAACACAAATTATAAGTTCTACACTATGCAGCAACAAGCCCAGTATAATCCCAACTCCATCGGGGTCTGGGGGACAAAATGTACGCAACCTTACCTCTGTAAAAAAACATAGAGGTTGTTTCACTTTGACCCTTAATGCATCAAGTTTTACACTATACAACCATGAAATAAATGCCATTGACCATCTCAGTTTTTTGAAGTAAATACTAACAACCCCATCACCTAAATGCAGTGTTGTATAAATCAGCCATGGTGACCTGTGAGACTCCCTAGGCCCACCCTAGGCTGAAACACAAATTTAAAAACCGACCTTGTTTTGGCATTGGAACGAATGGTCCTATGCTACTCCGGTTGGGTGCATTGCATTGGTGAATACTGAATACATTACTATTTTTTTGAAAATTACCAAAACACTGAAGTCAACGATTCTGATTTTTCATGGTCTTGTTTTTAGTTAGACAAAAATATTAACCCAATACTTAGTAGTAACAAATAAGCCCGAAGAACAGTTACTTTAGCTCCTTCTGCTTTGGTTTTACCACCAAGTATGGATCAAATGATTTACCTCCTCAGAACTCAAAGGCCTGCCAAGATCATCATCAACATCTGAAGATTCAACATCGGACTCATCAAGCCTCGTAATGTCCCGGGATTGCACAGCTGAAAATTCCTCCTCCAGACTGATAGGGCTACAAAGTGTCCTCCCAGAGGGACGCGGCGGAGCATGTTTCCTCATAAATGTTTGATGACGCAATTCGACCGCCCCCTTGCGCAAACTCATCCTTATACTTGCGGAACGAATCCTCCCCTGAACTCTATTATCATTTTCCATCTTGAAGCTTTCCATTTTTCATACATTTCAGCAAATTGACCCCCAAGTTATTATAATCAAGAGCGAGGCAATGGGATACCTAATTATGATTCACTGTATATGGCTACTTCGGGGAAGCGGAATGTAATTAATGGGATACGAAGAATACCAGGTTAAGCTGCTTGTCTGTCCCACCGAATGAATCACAGCACACTCCATAGTTGCGAGGCTCCCACAGCAAAAGCAAGAAACGAAACGAATACGGAGTAATAACAATAGTTTTCTCTTTCAGGCAAAAAATCAAACAGGTTGCCCTCAATTCCCTCAAACTCTACGCTCCAGAGAACAACTTGTGAGTAGAGCTGGAAAATTACAACCCGGAAAATAAACAAGGTAGGATAGAAATAGTGAAATCCGGCAGTACAATCAGTTGGGAAAATTGGAAAGTGTGCCCGACGAGTTTTTTTTGGTCCCCAATAATAGGAAGTACTCCGTACTATTTTTTTCTCAAAAATGCTTGTGGGACAATCAATTAGTGACACTGGAGAGAGTTTTAAAAATTACTCTCTCCGTCCTAAATTATTTGCCACATTTGTATTTCCGAGACAAAATATCAAGTTTTTTCAATTCATTTTATTTACATATTGGTAAAGAAATAAAAAATAAAATTTACATATAAAAAAACTACATGAAAAGTTCTTCGCAATAAGAGGTGTCAAGAATATTTTATTTTATCAAATAATCAATGAAAACATCGAAATAAACAAAAGTTCCTGACACTGCTGAAAAAGCAAATGTTGTGAATATTTAGGGACGGGGGAGTAAGTTATTTGTATTCTAAAAATTATGTTGCACTTTGTAACCCAAAAGCATGCGGTAATATTTTATGCTACTGTAATGCGTTATAATGACACAAAATATCAGTGCAAATTTTTTTAATTACACTAACATTTTATATTAGTATTAAATGTAGAAGTGCTAGTGCATCTCTTTGGAGTACATTTCTTGGTGTACCCTTACTCCCTTAGCATGGTTGTTTAAGGGTCTAGGGTGCCACACTACTGCCACCACATGAGTGCAACTGCACCCATGCTTCACACAGAAAAACAAAAACGTTAATTGTCTCTGCGACACAGATGATGATCATCTGTGTTTGTTTGTGCACCTATGGTAGCACACATGCACCCATGAAAGCACACATGTAGTGGCACCATAGCATTATTCTATTTTTGAAAACTGGACTCACGTATATTTTAAGGATTTTTACAAGGGGAGGTTCGAGTGAGATTAATGCTCCATGTCATCCTATGAAATGGGCCTTGATTAGAGCACTTACGGTGCTTCGTTTGAAAAATTAATGGTCCTTACCCCTCGGTAAACCCTCTTACCCCAGCCCGACCCAAACTGATCCCCCACTCCCTCCAATTGCATGCCACAAAATTTAGAATACAATGTTGACGACAAGGTATTTCTGAAAGTCTCACCGTGGAAGAAAGTATTACGGTTTGGTAGGAAGGGAAAACTGAGTCCAAGGTATATTGGACCATACCGAATCACTGAACGGGTAGGTCCAGTGGCCTATCGGTTAGAACTCCCGCCCTAACTGAACAAAATTTACGACGTATTCTATGTGTCAATGTTGAAACGATACCGTTCTGATCCATCGCATATCTTGACCGATGAAACGGTAACCCTTGACAACAACTATTACTCATGTAGTAAGAGCTTATACAGAGTTCAAAATTTTCTAATGATCTCTTTTTAAAGTTCTCTAGTTGACAAACTTTCTAATGTCATTCTCATTCGCCGGTGCATCATAATTTTGTATTGTCTACATGTGCAATATTGTGATTTTATCGTCAAAGGGAAGCGAACACGAAACATCAATGCACTAGGTGAGTGCTACTAAAGCTTCGGTGACTTTATTTTCCTTCATCATTTTATATTTCAGGCGATCCAATCTTCTGGCCAAGTAGTCCTGACAGTCTCGACGGCCCAGAAGCCACCTGCATCAGTTACTCCCAACCCCGATGAGCTTTTTTATTTTTTCATAGCTCTTAATATTTCAAATTGACTTTCTATTTTTTCCAAATATTAAAAATCTTGATATCGTAATATTCTAAATAAACTATAAATTGAGAATAATAGTTTGTTATTTCAAAATTATTCGTTAACTCGTCCATTATAAGTATATCTCTTCCGTTCAACAACAAATTCACTATTAACCGGTGTTATTAGAATCGGACCGGATCAGCCAGTCAAACCGGTTGACCCGCAAACCGGGAGGTATTCCGGTCCGGTTCAACTATAAAACCATGTTTTCCATTAGCCTGTTCGAACTCTCCTAACCTGGCAAAACCGGCGAACCGGGTCGACCCATTCGGGTCTTGGGTTTAGATTTTTTTTTTCTGCTAATAAAATAAAATAAAAAGAGTAATAATTGAACTCAAGACCTTTCTCAATATTTCAAATTGAGTTTCTATTTTTCCCGAATATTAAAAATCTTGATATCGTATTATTCTACATAAAATATAAAGCTAGAATAATAGTTTGTTATTTCAAAATTATTTGTTAACACATCCATTATAACTGTATCTCTTCTGTTCAACGACAAATTCACTATTAACCAGTGTTGTTAGAGCTGGACCGGACCGGCCGATCGAACCACAAATCGGTAGGTATTCCGATTCGGTTCAACTATAAAACCCAGTTTTCCATTAGCCCGTCTGAACCAGCTTGACCCGGCTGAACCGGCGAATCGGGTCGACCCGTCCAGGTCTTGGGTTTAGATTTTTTTTCTTTTTCTACTAATAAAATAAAATAACAAGAAAAATTGAAATTCACTATTAACCAGTGTTATTAGAATCGGGCCACACCAGCTGGTCGAACCGCGAACTTGGAGGTATTCCGGTCTGGTTCAACTATAAAACCCAGTTTCCCATTAGCTCGTCTGAACCCGCCTGACTCGGCAGAACCGACGAACCGTGTCAACCCATTCTGGTCTTAGGTTTAGATTTTTTTCTTTTTCTACTAATAAAATAAAATAACAAGAGTAAGAATTGAACTCAATACATTAGCCGATAACAATTGAACAGTCTAATCACTTAAGCTATTAAAGAACTTGTTACTAATGCTATGAAAAGCAATACATATAGTTTTTATGATAAATGAATTGTGTAAATTTAAAAAAACTTATAACTATGTGTAAAAGTGAACATTTTGGTGTGGTGCACTTATATTATACTTCTAATTTTTTATTGACGTCATTTTGTACTTTTAAAGCTAAGTCATTCAAGGTAAAAATAAAAATTATTTATATTTTATATTAAAATAATAATGAATACTTTATATCTAAAAAACATTATCATTTATAAAAATCAAGAAATATCTATTGATTATAACAGAAATAGAAATATAATTAGAGAAAAAACACAAATTTGAAAAACTATATTTGGCATTATTTATTTTTATCTAAAATTAAGTATTTTAATTTTTTTTAAAATATTTTTATCTAAAAATTCATACTTTTTTGAAAAATGAGCATTGGTTTGTTATTTAAGTGTATTTGTTAGACATTCACTATTACTTGTGACTTTTTATAATAACAAAAATAATAGAATATAACAAAAATAATAGAATAAAAATAGAAATTGTGAAATAGTATATGCACAATGATTTTTAAAACTAGATGAAGAAGTAAAAAAATAAAAGTTTTTTCAGGAAAGAGAAAAAACATAAGTTAAAATATTTTTATTAACAAAAAAATATATAAAAATATAATATAAAATGTAATAGTATTATTTTTAAATATATTTGACCGGGTCGTTGACCTCCAAGTCGACCGCTTCAACCGATTAGCACTCAACCCAGTCACTTGTCCGGGTCGATGTCCCGTCTGATTTTCAGAACATTGCTATTAACAAGAGTAAGAATTGAACACAAGACCTTTCTCAATATTTCAAATTGAGTTTCTATTTTTTCGGAATATTAAAAATCTTGATATCGTAATATTCTAAATAAAATATAAATCCAGAATAATAGTTTGTTATTTCAAAATTATCCATTAACTCGTCCATTATAAGAGTATCTCTTTTGTTCAACAACAAATTCACTATTAATCGGTGTTATTAGAGCCGGACCGGACCGGCCGGTCGAACCGCAAACCGGTAGGTATTCCGGTCCGATTCAATTATAAAATCCAGTTTTCCATTAGCCCGTTCGGACCAGCCTGACCTGATGGAACCGGTGAATCGGGTCGACCCGTCTGGGTCTTGGGTTTAGATTTTTTTCTTTTTCTACTAATAAAATAAAATAACAAGAGTAAGAATTGAAATTTACTATTAACCAGTGTTGTTAGAATCGGACTGGACCAGGCCGTCGAACCATGAACCAAGAGGTATTCCGGTCTGATTCAACTATAAAACCCAGGTTGCCATTAGCCCGTCCGAACCCGCCTGACCCGGCGGAATCGGCAAACTGTGTCGACCCGTCCGTGTGTTGGGTTTAGATTTTTTTCTTTTTTTACTAATAAAATAAAATAACAAGAGTAAGAATTGAACTCAAGAGGTTAGCCCATAACAATTGAACAGTCTAATCACTTAAGCTATTAAATAACTTGTTACTAATGACTATTTGTGAAAGTGAACATTTTGGTGTGGTGCACTTATATTATACTTCTAAAATTTTTTGCACTTATATTATACTTTTTTGGTCTGGTGCACAATACAAGATTTTGTGCTTTTAAAGTCATTCAAGGTAAAAATAAAGATTATTTATTTTTTTATATTAAAATAATAATGAATACTTTATATCTAAAAAACATTATCATTTATATAAATCAAGAAATATCTATTAATTATAATAGAGATAGACTTAGAGAAAAAACACAAAATTGAAAAATTGTATTTGGCATTATTTATTTTTATCTAAAATTAAGTATAAATAGTTGGTACCTAAAAATTCACACTTTTTTGAAAATTGAGCATTGGTTTGTTATTTAAGTATTTGTTAGACATTCACTATTACTTGTGACTTTTTATAATAAAAAAAATAATAGAATATAACAAAAATAATAGAATAAAAATAGAAATTGTGAAATAGTACATGCACAATGATTTTTAAAACTAGATGAAGAAGTAAAAAGATAAAAGTTTTTTTAGGAAAGGGAAAAAACATAAGTAAAAATATTTTTATTGGCTAAAATATATAATAATATAATATAAAATATTATTATTTTTAATATATTTGACCCTGTCGTTGACCTCCGAGTCGACCGGTTCGACCGATTAGCACTTAAACCAGTCACTTGTCCGAGTCGACGTCCCGTCCAATTCTCAGAACATCGCTATTAACCACTCTAACTTTAAAAAGATTGGTCCAAAATGTAAATTTTACGTAAATATGATTCCTCCCTTCCATCACACTTCTCCACAAAACTTTTTCATTTTCCACATCCTTTCAACTCATTTTCAATTTTCCTTTGAGCACAAAATGCAATCCCTCTACAAATTTACACCAATAAACTATGAGAGAAACGCGCAATGTGGACCCCCTTCTAGCTGGTGATTAGCGGGGGTTTAGTACTACTCCACTCGGGTTAGGCTTAATAAATGCTTAAAAAACCTTTGCAAGCAGCGTGGTCTCGAGCTATAAATCCTCGCTAATCTCGTACTTACGTTAATCAATTGCCATCCCCATCCCCATCCCTCTCTCGAAGCTTCAGTTCGTGTACCGGACAGACAACGTTAATCGACATCATTATAAATACATTCAATAATCGGGCAGAACTGGCGAAGATGAAGCAGAGGAGCCCCGTTTCCATGGAGAACTTGCTGGGACTTCTGAGAATTCGCGTGCTCCGGGGAGTCAACCTGGCCGTTCGTGATGTCCGGAGTAGCGATCCGTACGTTATTGTTCGCATGGGCAAACAGGTAAATAAACACTACATCAATTCCCAACGCGATTCTCTGTTTGATTTCCTTCGCCCTTTACCTGGATTTTGTGTTGTCCGTCTCTAGGTTTTGCACCAAATGGTTTTGTGTGACTGATTTTCAGCTTTTGAAACAACTTTGAGAGGTTTTTTTGAATTGGGTTTTCAGAAAATCATTTTTTTCCCAATATTATAATCACAGACAAACGCCTCTTGGAATCTAGTCATCCTTATTTGTTTATATGTATTATTGTTATTATAAATGTTATAGATTTGGTGGCTTTATTGAGAATTGGTACATTTGGTAATGTTTTTGGTACTGTTTTGCTGTGTTACAGAAGCTAAAGACCAGTGTGGTGAAGAAGAATGTCAATCCAGAGTGGAACGAAGATTTGACGTTGTCTATTTCAGACCCAAATCTTCCTGTCAAGCTGGTAAGCCCCTAGCGTCCATTCTTTGTGTCAAGGAGTATTGTGTGATGTTCTGTCTTCAACATATGGATATCTTTGAAGTTGTTTGGGAACATCATTTTCACTTTTTAGTTAGTGTTTTGTATACTTTTTAGTTAGTGTTTGGGAAAACACTAAAACTAAATGATGCTATTAGATAACGTTTTCTAAATGCTGAATTTGTTGCCACTTGCGAAACAAACACTTATTTTTCCATAAAACATTCCAAGTTTGACGTGACGCAGTTCTAAGGAATTGAAGTGAATTTGTGTTGTATAGATTTATGCTGACGAGAGAAAAGCACATTTTTTGAGACCAACAAAAAAATACTCCGTAGTTAATCTATGAGTTTACTCACAGTTCTTATTCTCTTATACCATAGTTTATGATCACAGTGCTATGTGCAGTATTCGTATATTTATGAAACTTTTTGAATTGTTCGCATATGTTTTTTTAATACAAAGTTTCATACTCTTAAGAGTCAAACATTCATCACACTTTTGACAAAGTTCTAAAACATGTGCTTCCAAAACTGTCAACATAACAGTAGATTGTGGCGTTATGGATTAACCAGGGTTAGTTGGGTTTGAGTGGAATTGGAGTAATACCAAAGCCCCCATTTCCCCAAATGAGAACCCAACGCCTAGGCATGGATTAGTATACCCTTAGGAAGGGTTCTTTACAACAATAGGTGGCTTAGGAGAAATAATGGCTGGCAACTGAAACACCAACAAGAAGCCAAGTAAAATCCCTACAAAAAAATTAGGATCTTGGGAGGGTGTTTGTACGCACACCTTACCCCAAGTGATTAAGGATGTTAAATCCTCCCACAAAAGAAAAATTTACAGACTACTCTTACCCTTTTATGTTAACATGATAAAAATGAAGTACCATTTGGAATACATTATACATTATCCTTGTGCAAATTCTAAGCAAAGAAAAAACTCTTTTAATGCTAGGCAATTGATGATGTATTATTCTTCTTGATCTCTCCATAGTTTCATTAATGAGTACATGAAATTGATGATGTGGTTCTTATCAAGTGCTCAATATGATGTTAATTGCAGCAAGTGTATGACAAGGATCTATTCAGTTGTGATGACAAAATGGGGGACGCAGAATTCGACATCGCGACATATGTAGAAGCCGCACGGATGCACTTCCAAGATGTCCCCAGTGGGACCATAATCACCAAGATCAAACCGAGCAGGGAGAATTGTCTGGCCGAGGAAAGCAACATTGTCTGGGAAAATGACAAGGTTGTCCAGAACATGGTTTTGAGGTTGCGGAACGTTGAGTGCGGGGAATTGGAGCTCCAGTTGCAGTGGATCAACATTCCATCGCGGGTCAAGAACCCGTACGGCCGTTCTCTAGTGCAGGTACAAGATGATGTACAGAATGGCTCATGGCATTAGCTTAATAATGTAACTTTAAGTCTATATATAAATAATGAATGTGTAGTTGCAGCACCTTGTTAAGATGGGATATATACAATATATGTATGGTTTGATAAATACTTTTTCAAGATATAAATGGTAGCATTATAATGATATTAAAAGAAGCAGTTGAGGTGAAACATAGGAAGATACTAAAATCTTGCAAGATACTAAGGGTCCGTTTGGTACGCAGAATTGGAATTGAATTGGAATTGGAATTCTATGGAATTGAATTGGATGGAATTGAATTCTAATTCAATTCCAAATCCTTTGTTTGGTGTAATTAAAGAATTGATATAGAATTGTATTGTAATTCCAAATCCTTTGTTTAGTAACATAAAATTATATATACAATTGATATGAAATTGTTTTATGATCCCAACCACTATTTGATAACTCAAAAAATGACATTAATATACATTACGGCTACCATCATTTTTTTAAAATAACCATCTTTAGACATTTATGACAATAAAAAATTGAACAATTATAAATTCAAATAGATCAAATATACCAAACTTAAATTCAAACAAAGTTGACAGAAGAAGTATTAACTTAAGTTCAAACAAAGTTCAAGTTGAAANCTTTGTTTGGTAACATAAAATTATATATACAATTGATATGAAATTGTTTTATGATCCCAACCACTATTTGATAACTCAAAAAATGACATTAATATACATTACGGCTACCATCATTTTTTTAAAATAACCATCTTTAGACATTTATGACAATAAAAAATTGAACAATTATAAATTCAAATAGATCAAATATACCAAACTTAAATTCAAACAAAGTTGACAGAAGAAGTATTAACTTAAGTTCAAACAAAGTTCAAGTTGAAACAACAAATTAAATTCAAACAAAGTTCAAATTGAATGATAATAAGATCATCAATGCTTGTGCTATTCTTCACAATCTTCATTTATCAAGTTGCACTTTCAACCACTTGTATTTCAACTCTGTTGGCATTCCCACAAATGTATTGAATAATATGTGATCATGCATCATCAAATCCACAGCCTTGATCATCTGCATGTCATCAAGTTCAATAGCCTTCAACTCAGCCAAAATATCTTGGGGATTAATTTTTTTTTCTCTGCCAGCATTAACTCCTTTTCAGCCAAAAGAAGCTCGGACTTTTTCCTTTCCACCGCCAAATAGTCACTGAAATCAGTCGCCATTCGCTGCATACAATCAGATATGATTGTCGTTGATGAAGTTTTCTTCTTAGGTCCTAGAGAACATGAGGAAGATGTTGTCTCCTTTCTTTTTTTTCGAGCCAACAACTCACTTATAGCATCAACTTCATCACACTTGTCAAGTGAATCTGGGATAGTAGCAGAATCAACCTCAATCTCATCAATGTTTTCTTGAATTGTTCTTGAACCTTGCCCATCCGCACGATCTTGAGAGAAAAGAATACAAATATCATCCCAATTGTCTATCACAATTCTTTTCCTGTAAGGTGCAATTTTTGAATTCGCCTTCAAAACAACAATAATCATAGTTAATTTTAGTTTACGTAGCTTGTTACAAGAGAGACAAACACAAAGAAAGATGGGCATAAAAATCTCCACTGGACATTCAAGATGACAATACAAACCCGGCTAAAATGCCAGTCTTGATTTGGTTTATTTAAATTACCAAAACCAGAACACATCATATTTACTGGTTTAGATGACAAGAGGGGTAGACAAAATGGCCACAAGCAATCATAATCCAACCAGAAAGTATGGGTAAAAAAGTTTGTGAAGTGTTGTACAGACCATACCAGAACTCTAAAATATAATACCAGAACTTCCATATAATACACATAATGAGATATGAAATAGGCAAAGGAAACACAAACCTTAAAAAAATAATTATAGATAACTTCAGGCCATTAGATCTCTGATTTTATACCCAATGAAACAAATCAGAATGTAGTGTATATTCCTAAAGCATTTCCCACCACTTGCTGTATAGATTTATTAAAATAATCGTCTCAAATTTGTTTCAAGTTATAAAGGACACATGATAACATGAGTTCATATTCCGAAGAGATCAAAATTGTGCCATTAAAAAAACTGAAGTAAGCAAACACGAACATACCTTTAACCGTTCATTCCACACATTTTCATCATGAACCATAATTCTACCTGCTGTGTAATCCCAAGTGATTGGAGAGCCAGAATTGCATGATATCAACAATGGATGTAAGATATCGTAGTGTTTCTCCCAGGTTTTCAAACGAGCTTGAATGTTATGCTTATCAACTTTAACATTTAGCTTCACCTGAAGTGCATTTATAGCAGCTGTCCAAGAGGTAGACTTCCAAGCAAGTTTTCCATCAAGTTTGTTTCCTTGATTCAGTTGTTCAATAAAAGAAGCTCCAAGAACTTTATCCATCTNAAATTGTGCCATTAAAAAAACTGAAGTAAGCAAACACGAACATACCTTTAATCGTTCATTCCACACATTTTCATCATGAACCATAATTCTACCTGCTGTGTAATCCCAAGTGATTGGAGAGCCAGAATTGCATGATATCAACAATGGATGTAAGATATCGTAGTGTTTCTCCCAGGTTTTCAAACGAGCTTGAATGTTATGCTTATCAACTTTAACATTTAGCTTCACCTGAAGTGCATTTATAGCAGCTGTCCAAGAGGTAGACTTCCAAGCAAGTTTTCCATCAAGTTTGTTTCCTTGATTCAGATGTTCAATAAAAGAAGCTCCAAGAACTTTATCCATCTCAGAACTCCAGGTGAAATATTTTGATTTTTCTTTCCCTAGTTGTGAATTACAGTCCATCTAACCCCCGGTAAAACCCCCACCCCACCTGAACACACCTCCCAACCCCCTTCAATTATATCTCCAAAGTTAATGTTGACTTGGAGTGTGTGTGTGTGTGTGTGTATAGATATATATATATATAGTTGACTCCAGTGAGATAATACCTTATAGTGAGATGACATGCTACGGTCACATGACGCAAAGCTCACCACTGGCCACTTCAAAGCTCACCATATTTTTTCAACACTTTGAATTTTTTTGAGAAAATAAAATCAAAGGAAGGGGTTGACCATTGACCGCGACCATTGACCGCCACTGGTCGCCGCCGCTGACAGGTGGTTGACCGGTGTTGCTATTTTTTTTAAATTTTTTAATTTTAAAAATTAAAAAAAAGGTGAGTTTTAGTGTTTAAAGTGGTGGGTTTTATTTTATTTTTAGGTGAGCTTTGTAGTGTAGTGTGGTGAATTGGGCGTCATTTCACTGAAGCATATTATCTTACCATAAGGTGTCATCTTACTGGAGTCAATACATATATATATATAAACTTTATAGCGTATACAATACAATTGGTCAAACCTTCTGAACAAGGTTCGTCGCCTAACGGATGTCACCTGACCTCTGTAGTCAGTGGCGGATCCAGAAATTGAAGTAGATGGGAGCATCATTGATCGGTAGTCTAGAAGCATTGCTACATTTTTTTGATAAACTATTTGAAATGACAAAAAATAATAAGTCTTATTTCAAATATTTATTAAATGTAAAATATATTTGAATATGTAAAGTGAAATTTTATTTTATAAACAATTAATTTTATACAATAAAACACTCTTTACTAAAAAAAATTAAACAAAAAATTTAAATTTGACCAAATTAGATAAGATCACATTAATTTTTTGTTGGGGACATACATATATAAAATTTTAAAAAAATAATATTTTTAATCTCATCACAAGAAATTAGTTGGGGGCATTTGCCCCCTACTCTTCCTTAGTGGATCCGCCACTGCCTGTAGTCTTGTCTCTTTCATTCTATCGCTATCGCCAAGTTCCTATCATCCGTCGCTCCCAAGTTAATTTTGATCTTGGAGTCAAAATTTGATTTTAAAGTTAAAATCAAATTATGAAGTGCAATTTGCGGGGGTGTTGGGGTCGGAGTTAGATGAAGAGTTTTAGAGAAGGAATTAGATACTCCAACACCTTACATAAATACAAATCCATAAAACAATTTCTCTCTCTCAAGTCTCAACTCTCGTTAGTCGTCTCCTGGCCTTGCCCCGCGCCCCAATCTTCCCGCGTCAGCAACGGGCATCAGTCGTCGTCCAGAACCAGCCACCGACGTTTGCCGTCGCTGAGCGTCCTATTCTCGTCAATCACTGCAATCGTCTCTCTCCCACTGGAGGTATTCATTTCAACTAATTTAATTTCTGTAATCGCCCCTACATATTTAATTTCAGCAAATCCCTAAACAGCTAATACACCGCAGAGTCCACAGCCCGCCCCCGGTTGCACTCAGCCGATTGCCATGGTTGAAGTCCGCCGACCACTGTACGCAGCTGACCACCTTAAGCTGCCGACTACCGAAGCCGGAGTCCAAAAGCTGCTCCGCCTGCTCACCCCTAGTTCAAAAGGTAAATCATCCAAATGTTTTTCTTTCGTGAAAATTGTTTTATCAGGGAAACTACGCCTTATTTGTTTAACTATTGTTGGAAAATTGAGATAACACACGATTTATTTGAAAGTATGATAATATCACATTTTCATATTCATTATTTGAGGGTTCAATCCAAATCAATCAGATACAACTCAAATTATTTATCAAGAACAAGTATGTGATTGTATGTGATACTGATGAATTTTCGAACTGGAGGACCGATAAATGAAAGTAAAACTTCGTTTTATAGAAGTCTTCATCACCTGAAAGGTTGCTTCCTTTAAAGAGGAGACGATTCGGAAAAACATGGCCATTCTGTAATAGTGTCCTTTCTGTTTGGGAAAAAATCTGATCATTTAAGGACCCAAAATTCCACGCGTGAAATTTCATAAAATAAATTCCGAGTGGATTTTTAGCAAAGCAGAATAAGTCAAAATAAAAAATTTTCCAGGTGAGCTGGCAGCTTGACCCCTGCCTGGGGCTCTGCCCTTTAGACCCCACTTCCAGGGGCACTACCCCTTTGTCTTGTGTGTACCCCGCACCTCCTGATTTATTTGTGTTAAATATAGTATGTGTATATTTAATATTAATGTAGCAATCCTTGTACACATGGTAGGTTTCCTTGTATTGTTACCTTCCGTAGTTAGGACTCTACTGTATCTATTTATACGAGGCTTAGCCCTCCGTTGTTAATCATAGAAATTAACAATTCTTCATGGTATCAGAGCGTTACTCACGTTCCAACGAACGTCGCTGCAAACCCTAGCAGCTCTCTCCTCTCTCCTTCGCCGTACAGCAGCCCCTCGCCGCAGCAACCCTTCGCCGGCGATTCCAGGCGGCTCCTCCCCTCACGGCAGTGCTCTCTCTCTCTCTCGGCAGACTCTCGGCGTCTCCCTCCTTCAGGCAGGCTTCTTCCTCTCTCTCTTCGGTCACCATGTCAGAGAAAACACCCGCCACCGGTGCTCAATCATCCTCCTCCACTCCCCACTTGGCGTTCACGACCATCTCCAACGTGAAACTTCATGTACCGGTCCTCCTCAGTTTTTCCGAACCAAACTACAAAAAATGAGCCGGCTTTTCCTCCTTCTCATCCGGCGGTTCTCTTTGGGAGATTTCCTCACCGGCAAGTCCTCTCCTTCAAGCGACGACGACTCCGAGTGGTTCCAACTTGATGCTCTCATCCAAGGTTGGATCTTGTCTACGGTGAACGATGAAGTTTGTGATCTCGTCCTCTCCACCACAAATTCAGCCTCGGAGCTTTGGAAATCAATTTACAATATGTTCCATGACAACAAACCGGCCCGGGCTATGCAACTTGAGCACCAATTTCGGACGACAACGAAGGGTTCTCTCTCCATGACCGTGTATTGCCAAACCCTCGCGGATTGGTTGGACGACGTAGATGCCCCCGTCTCTGAGCAACAACTTGTTCTACAAGTTCTTCGTGGCCTCCCGGACGACCTTCGGTCACAAACCTCTTTTCTTCAATACCGAACGCCGCCCCCACCTTCCTTCAAACCCGGTCGGCCCTACTTCTTATTGAGCAACAACGGGCTGAGTTGGGGGTCGGTGGTGGCGCAGGAGACAGCGGGACAGTCCTCTACGCGGGCAGTGGAGGCGCAGGCAGTGGCGGAAATCGGCGACAGGGCAACAACACAGATTCCAGCGGCGGCAGTGGTTACGGACAGCAGCGGCAGCGTGGTGGACAACATCGGGGTCGTGGTCGCGGCCGAAGCTTTGGGTCAAATGCACGCAACACCCTCGGGCAAAACTCTGGACAGTTCAATAACCCAAACAACAACCCGGGCCTTCTTGGTCCTCGTCCAAATCCCCACCCCCATAACCCCTACCCCCAGGCCTATTTCTCCACCC